CCACGAGAGTGTCGCTGGCACAAACCACGTTGTTTTGACATCGTCTTAGCGTTGAGACAACATCGGAGTTTCCATGTGCAGCCAGCGCACTAACCTGTGTCCCATCAGCGTCGGAGCCGGGGCAGCCACGGAGCAGACCCGCATCCCCGCTGATAAAGGAACAATTCACTCCAGGCTTCGGCTTTTCAGGTCGCTGTCTTTGGTTGGTTGTTTTTTTTTTTGTTTGGTTGGGGGTTTTTTTGGGTTTTTTCTTTTTTGGGGGGGTTTTTTGGGGTTTTTTCGGGGGGTTGTTTTGGGTTCTTTTGGGGTTTTTTTTGTTTTTTGTTTTGTTTTAAGGCTACATTTCAAACTAAAACACAAGCTAGAATTAGAAGAGGCTTGGAGAGGCAACTAACACTTACGACCTCGCATATTGATTTGCCACACAGAAAGGAACACGCGATATGTTCATGCAAAGACTTTGTGTGGGTGGTTCTATGGCATACCTGGTCATCCATGGTGTTAACCCCGTCAGGTCCCAGTGCATCGATCGCTTGGTTGATCAGATCCGTCCTTCCACAGTTCAGCATCCGGAAACCCAGATCCTGCTGGAATTTTTCAGTAGCAGCCTTAGCGTCCAGTCTCCGGAAGGAACTAAAGCAGCATTCAGGTCTGCGAAGAAGAAAATAATTTCTGGATTTTTTTTTTTTAAGCCCTGTTTCCTAAGAAATCAGGCTGATGAATTTTCAGGTTTTTATCCATCGTATACCTTCCCCACTGTGTAACCATTTCTGAAAAATCTGGCTAACTTCACTCATACTGGAGATGGAAGTTTTAGTTCTTAGACAAACACAGTAAGTTCATGTAAACACCACAATAAAATTTAAAATATGTCCCTTGGTACCGTAACGGGCAGAGAGCAGCCGGAGTTACTGCAGCAGCGAGGTGGTGGGACCGGTGCCACCGGCTGCCAACCTGCAGCAACCAGCTTTCCTTAGTTCTGCTTTTTCTAACAAAAAACCACCCCAACAGGACCCAGGTGCTTTAAATAATTATTCTGGATATCAGATTTTCCTGCTTGTTGTAGGCTAGTCCATCAAACATACACAAAAACATATTGCAAGGAGGAGAAAGAAGGTGGAGAAAAGTGTATAGAATAAAATATTGGTGTAGTTCTGGGATGAAAGATTTATGCTGTCTACCAGCTATTATTTTGAAATAAAAGGCATTTCTGTAATAAGATAATGATCCTTATTTTTTTTCTGAAAAAAAAAATCAAAATTAAAAAAAAAAAACAACATTGAAATAAAATT